TGAGAACTATATGTTTGCATATATTAGATTTTTTGTTTTTTTTTTTATAAATAATAGCTTGAAGGTTGAATCTATGGATTAGATATTGGTGATTAGATTGACATTGAATTTTTGTTTTTGTTTTTTTGGCACAATTGGTATGACTTAATTTTTTTATTGGTGATTAGATTGAGTTTTATTTTGAGTCAACTTTTTCTATCAGAAATTCAACTTTCAAAATAATGTGTAAAACCTATTAATTTTTTTTATATTTAATATTTTCTCATTCTACAAAATCATACAAAAATAAAATAAAACATTTTCTCATTTGGTTATTGTTTGTGGTCTTGTGCTGTTAGTGGTTACATGATTGATGGGGTCAATTGTTAAACATGCAAATCTTGAGTAAATAAGCAATTGAAAATAGCAAGACACATTAAACACATAACATCTATGCATAATAATACATTCATGTCAAAGCATGCACAACTAAACCAAGATAAAAATTAATTAAAAAGAACAAATATTTAATGATAATCACACAAGAAATTTTTAATATAAATTAAAAAAAACAAATTCATTACTACTTACCTAGTGAAGAAGACAATTCGTATTTTGGTAATGTATAGCTCTGTGAGAAAATAGTAATTAAATTGACAAAACAATTAGTCAAAATATCACATACACAATAATTGAAATAGATTCAATTACAATAGAAAGTAAGTAAGCAAGGAAGGGGGTGCTTACATTTATAAAAAATTTAGAGCCCAATTCAGATCAATACAAATATCTTCACTCTAAAGTGTAACCTGTCAAAAAAATATATTAAGTCAAATTTCAATGACTCTTTAAGAAAGTAAAAAAAATATTATAAATCCACAAATATAAAAACCTATACTATTAAAAATCACAAAGACATAACACTGACACGAAAGCACACAAAAATATTGTCACTCTAAAATCACACAGACATGAACACTGACACATGAACACAAAACACACGAAAAATACAAAACACACACACAGTTAGAGAGAGAAGAAACCTGAAAACACACATTGAAGACAGACATGAACCATGAACACACACAAAAAAACCCAAAACACACAATGATAACATAAACACACACATGAACACACAGGCAATCACACACACACATGAAAACATACTGTCACTATAAAATCAGACACGAACACTGACATTGTCACTCCAAAATCAGACATGAACACACACACACATGAATACTNATTAGATTGACATTGAATTTTTGTTTTTGTTTTTTTGGCACAATTGGTATGACTTAATTTTTTTATTGGTGATTAGATTGAGTTTTATTTTGAGTCAACTTTTTCTATCAGAAATTCAACTTTCAAAATAATGTGTAAAACCTATTAATTTTTTTTATATTTAATATTTTCTCATTCTACAAAATCATACAAAAATAAAATAAAACATTTTCTCATTTGGTTATTGTTTGTGGTCTTGTGCTGTTAGTGGTTACATGATTGATGGGGTCAATTGTTAAACATGCAAATCTTGAGTAAATAAGCAATTGAAAATAGCAAGACACATTAAACACATAACATCTATGCATAATAATACATTCATGTCAAAGCATGCACAACTAAACCAAGATAAAAATTAATTAAAAAGAACAAATATTTAATGATAATCACACAAGAAATTTTTAATATAAATTAAAAAAAACAAATTCATTACTACTTACCTAGTGAAGAAGACAATTCGTATTTTGGTAATGTATAGCTCTGTGAGAAAATAGTAATTAAATTGACAAAACAATTAGTCAAAATATCACATACACAATAATTGAAATAGATTCAATTACAATAGAAAGTAAGTAAGCAAGGAAGGGGGTGCTTACATTTATAAAAAATTTAGAGCCCAATTCAGATCAATACAAATATCTTCACTCTAAAGTGTAACCTGTCAAAAAAATATATTAAGTCAAATTTCAATGACTCTTTAAGAAAGTAAAAAAAATATTATAAATCCACAAATATAAAAACCTATACTATTAAAAATCACAAAGACATAACACTGACACGAAAGCACACAAAAATATTGTCACTCTAAAATCACACAGACATGAACACTGACACATGAACACAAAACACACGAAAAATACAAAACACACACACAGTTAGAGAGAGAAGAAACCTGAAAACACACATTGAAGACAGACATGAACCATGAACACACACAAAAAAACCCAAAACACACAATGATAACATAAACACACACATGAACACACAGGCAATCACACACACACATGAAAACATACTGTCACTATAAAATCAGACACGAACACTGACATTGTCACTCCAAAATCAGACATGAACACACACACACATGAATACTTAGGCACACATACACAAAAAAAAAACCCCAAAGCAGACAATGGCACACACACAATGTTAACTTAAACTCACACATGAACACACAGGCACATACATACACACATATGAAATCATATTATAACTCTAAAATCAGAAATGAACACACACATACATGAACATGCACATAGTCACTCTAAAATTAGACATGAACACACACAAAGACACACACATTAAACAAGCGCACACACATGCACAGTTACAGAGAGAGAGAGAGAGAGAAAATCTAAAGGGAGATACCTGGACTCCTTGTTGGCGGTGTAGCAAGTGTGCGTTGTGTTGTAGTGGGTGGTTCAATGTGTGTTACTAGTGCAAGATTGAGATAGAGTGTAAAATCTGGGTAAATTTGAATTTTTTTTAAAAAATGGCAAAACGGTAATTTGACACTATGATACGGGTTGAAAACTCAAAATTTTCTAGAGCTCGGATGACGAAACGGGCCTCACCATTGGATTCTTCTCCCGAAATCTAGTTACCTAATCAATTTTCGTCAAATTCTGAGACAATCAAATTTGTTTTCGCATTTTATAAGGCAATTGAGTCTCGGGTGACCCAAAATGCGAGATATGAAATACAATTTTGAAAGTTAAAAAATAATATAAAGCAAGTTGAAATAAAAATATTTTAAACTTGAATCGATACAAAATTTAATCATTTCAGGACGAAATCGAACCCAGAAATGGGGGATTTGTGGTGCAACGAGGGCCAAGTGTTTGTAGACTATAAAAGGGGGATAAAAATCAGATTTCTTACCCTATTCTCAGCTGGGTTTTTACGTTGGAAGAGAAGAGAGGGAAAGGAGAGGAAAAAATCAAAATTTTCACTTTCTCTCTATGATATATAGAGTTTCGTTGGTCGGATCGACTCGGGCCAAGAGTCAAAGTTCATCTACGCGTCGAGGGCTACAAAACCATACCAAAAGGGATGGATTTCACCAAATTTATAAAAATGAGCTTGGAAGAAATCAAGAATTTTAGGCGAGATTTGGGTTCTTAGAGCTTGCTAGCATTGTCTTACGCTTCAAGAGGTAGGGTTTTCTCCCTAACTAGGTTTATTTGCAACCTAGGTTTGTAATATGGAATGGATAAGTTGTTAGATATCTTTTGCACTTGCCTTTTGTTGTTAAATTGATGAAATGGGTAGTGAAAATGGGTAAATTCAATTCTAGTATAAATTGGTAAATATAAATTACTAGCTTGTGATTTCTTGGAAATTTTGATATATGGGCATGTTATGTGAATTAAGTGTGTTATTTTATGAGATTATGTGATAACATGGTTGGGCATTATTGTTGGGAATATGTTGATATATTGACATTGTGATGAATTACGGTAATTATATGCATGTGACATAATTTACCTTGGAATATGTTGATATGTGGTTAAATTGGTCCATTTGACATTCATAGCATATTGGGTATGATCTTTGTATTGCAATGGTGTATTACATTGCATATGCACGGAGACATTGTATTTTGTGGGAGTGTGTGTGCATGGTCATCATCAAACGCCATACTTGGTGAATGATGTGTGGGCTCGGGAAAGTTGGGCTATGGCCTGGCTAAGTTGCACGGTTTGCATTAAGAATTGGGTCAGACTTAGGAAGAAGGGCTAGACAATCCCTCGGGTGAGAGACTCGGTGATTTGGATATGCACTCCGTTGGTATAAGAGCACATAAAGTGTGTTAATGTATAAAGAACCATTGGTGGAAGTTCATGAATTTCGTGTTGGTTGGGTGCTCGTTAGTATAAGTCCATAAATACCCACCCCAAGAAAGACCCTAAGATTTTAAATAGTCATTGGATGTGTAACATCAATGGTGAGGGTTCAGAATGCTTGGGGGCTTTTAAACCATGTTTTGTAAAACTTTTGTGGAATTTGGTTTTGGTCATGTAAATATATAGAATATGGACCATGTTTTCTGTGAAAAACTTCATTATACATGTGTTGGGTTGATATGGAATGGATTGGAGTGGATTGGAAATAAAAAACAGGTGAAATAGGCAAAACTGGGTGCAATTGGCATTCGTACGCCACTTCCACATTTGAACATAGGCAACTCACAACACTTAGGGTTCTGTAGAGAACCAAAGTACTGGGAGTCACCCATGTTCGAACGCCATTTTCACGTTTGAACGCCATAATTTCACGTGCGAATATAAGGAGCTTACAGTACTTTTGCATCTCTACAGAGAACCTAAGTACTGGGAGTAGTCCATGTTCGAATGCCATTCCACGTTTGAACGTGGGGAGCTAAACTAAAAATTTGAAATGTTTTACTAGGCCCTTGGAGCTTGGGTTCTTTTCTTCAAACGATATAAATGGACATTAAATGAGTAAGCATTGATATATATTGGACCTTGGATGGGTCATATGATTGAAGTGTAGAAAGGTAGTACTTTGGTCATGGTCAAACACCTAAATGCCAATCCAATTAGGTAACTATGAAAGTGAATGGGAACTCCTCAGTGTCAATCCTACCTCAATTAGGATACTTGAGTGCCAATCCAATTACGTAACTGTCAAAGTAAGTGGGAGCTTCTCAATGTCATTCCTACTCTAAGTAGAATACTTGAATGCCAATCCTATCAGTAACTCCCAAGGTTGGCCTATAAATAGGTCCCTCCTCCTTTCCCTTTGTTCCATTCCTTGAGAGGGTTAGATTGAAGAGGGATGGAGGGCAAAGGTGGTGTGAGTGAAGTAGACACAAGCAAGGCAAGTATGGGCGCCACAGACACATGCGCAGCGGGCACTGGCACAGGCGTCGTGGACGTTGACCTGGGTGCATGAGCTGGTCGAGAGGTGGACATGGGCGCTCGGGGTGCTATAGTTGGCATTGGCACATGGGTAGGTGCAGGTATAGGAGTGGGCACAAGAGCCTGAGTGCAGGTGGCAGGTGTCATGGCACAAGTATTTGGGCTAGGTGTCAGGAATGAGCTATGCACGAAGACAAGGGCTGGACAAGTGGCGAGAGATGATAATGGTAGTGCTCCTCCTCATCCATGATGACACAAGTAACGTGGTAAAGTGACTACTGATTATTGTCTAAGGTGAGCTCTATCTCTAGCTACCTTAACACTGATGCTAAGATTGCTAGGATTATATCTACTTTTAGCATTACTCTTGTGTTGTTGTGCCATCGGGCTGAGATGGGGGAGCCAACCTTTGATGACTCCTTGGGGGACATTACTATTTATGAGGAGACAATTGAGGAGGGGTTAAGGTTTCGCATACCTTCTCCCGTTTGTCGGAGCCTTCATTATTTTTTACTCATGCCAAAGCATTTGTCACCCAATGGTTGGTGAGTTCTGTTGGGATTTCTTGCACTATGGAGGAGGGTGCATTATGAGGATGCCTCCCTTGAAGATTTTTCTATTGCTTATATTTTGAGTGAAACTCTTTCTACCAACTGCGACTAGTATTACTTCACTCCGAGGGGAGGAAAATTAATTGTTGGGCTGCGATCCAACTACCATAGCTGGAAAGATCGCTTCCTATTTTTTGGAGGAAAATGGGCTTCAGAGGCGTACAGGGCTCTGGTATCAGTGAGGTGGGGCCTTCCAAAGTGGATAGGTACAGCCTCTCTCCCTTTTTCTTGGTACTAACCACCTTTTTTCCAGGCTCCCTGGTGCTCTTAGCAGATCAGGAGTAGAAAATTTAGGCTATGAGGGCCTGTTCCATAAGGCTAGGCTAGGGACCCTCCTTCCGGAGATGCTAAGGGTGGTGTGTTTTCTTCCAAGGCTAGAAACTCCTCATAGAAGAGAAAAGGTAAGTCGAATTCCTTCAGATTTTTCTGTCTCTTTTTTATTAGGGTAACACATTACCTTTCTGCAGTGGATAGGATAGTAGTGGAGTCCCATTATACCACTAGGAGTACTCCTCCACCCAAGATGGCCAGGGTGGATGATGTTCCAGCGGCCTTTCTCAGATGACCCTTCTAGTAACTCCTCCCCAAAAAGCTTCTTTACTGATTCCTCTAGAGGTTCCTTGATGAGTGTGGAATATTGCATAGTATTCATCTTCATTGCATCCAATTTAACTTGTTTTTTTGTAGTGAAAAATTGGGGAAATAGATTGAAAATTACAATTAATGGAGACTTGTTTGACTATAAGTGATAGGTTGGAAAGGGCATACCTAAGGCACCCCATCAAGTGATCAAGGTCAAGGGGGGAAGAAAGGACTTCATGACAGATGGCTTAGGAGCTCAAGGAGCTAAGAATTCTAAGTCAAAGAAAAGACCTACCAGTAGAAGACATATAAGACCTACCAATAGAAGACCTATACGTAGAAAAGCCTGCTAGAAAGTAGCTCAAGTGCCTCCCTACAAGATCCACTAGCAGAAACCTTACGAGCTATCCATAGCTGACCCTATTGGAAGCGATCTACTAGTCGAATCCTTACGACCTACTGGTAAGAGTTGCCTAGAAAGCTCAGACACTCCTCCTCACAACTTTACCAACTATGGGGGCCCACTTTTTGCCCTCTAGACCATACCTTGAAATTTTTAACACCCCATGATGATCTCCTAACCCCCTACACTCAAATGGAAAACATAAGGGAGTGAGGAGCCAAGGGAGAGAAGGGGAGTAGTTAGAAAGGCATGGGAGGTCCATGCCTTGATTGATTTTGCTTCTTTGAGTGGGCAACCTCTCTCCAATCATTCCAAGTCAATCACTCATGCTAAGGGAGAGAGGATGGACAAAAATGATAGGTTGCAACACACAATTTCAGATTACAATACTTTTAGAGAGAGAAGTTCCTAGGTACAAGATGAAATTTTAGAGGGACAAGTTGGGTTTTACATTTTCCTTCACCATTTTCATTGTAGTAAGCTCCATTTAACTTGTAATCTTTCCCTTTTGCACTCTAATCTCTGTTATTCAAGTTGTAATCAAGTTTAGCTAAGTGTCCTTATATTTCGTTGTTACATTTGGGTATTTTCTCTTCAAGCTTTGCATTTTGAGTATGAATGTCATTTCCGTTGTAGTCTAAACTTTCCCTTACATTTAATATAAGTCCATGTTTGATTTCACTACCGTGTTTCTCTACTTCATTGTTGTTCTTGCTCTTAAAATGCATAACTAAACTTTTAGTTGGCTAATCCAAGAGGGATTTCCCCTTCGGTATGTGAAATCAACTATCTTTCATTCTTCCTCGTAGTGTAAAGTATTTTGTTTGACTAAGTTGAGTGTGGACATAGTTGTGGCCTTTTTATACACTGTAGACTTGTCCAGGGGTGTGCTTTTGCCCAACACAACAATATTAGTCCCTCACTTCCTATGAATCAATTAACCATCAAGACACCATTGGTTGAATGAAATGAGTTAATTTGGCATTCCCTTTGGAATGACCTCTATGGATTAGCCAACCTTACTTTCTTGCATATTTCTTAAGTCAAAACTCACCAAACTTCAACTCAGAAGATTTACAAATTTTCACTTTTTTCACAAATCACCCTTAAAAAACATTCAATCTTTTCTTCCCTGAGGAGACAACCTTGGAATATCCATTTCAAGTAAAACTTGACATTGCAAGACTTTCTCTATGCTTGGGGAGCAATTTTACACACATTTTTGTTCATCCACACATAATTTTCCCACTTCTTGTATTAAACTCGAGGGACAATGACACTCACCAATCTCTATAAGCCATATACACATAGTTTGGGTTCGTGTTATAGGTCCGGGAAAACCATCAAACATTTTTGGTGCCATTGCCAGGGAAGGCTAAGCGTTGAATTTGAAGGTGATTTGGGGACAACAGAGGTAAGTCCTATGATTCTTATCACAAGCTAAGGTACTTTACTCCTTTGTATATATTTGTGCATACAGACATGATAATCAAAATTGACTAGTAAGACATGCCCTAGGACCAAATATGAATATAGACCAAGAGCCACTCGAGAATGCTAGAGATAATTTTGGGGATGATGGTGCTAACAATATAAGGGGTGGGGGAGTGCAAAATCCCCAAGTGCCAAATCCCCAAATGCAATTCCCCCCTTTGAGAAATGAAAGAAATAATCTCCCAATTGATCCTCCGGCGAGGTCAATGAGAGATTATCTCCAACCTACTCGAAGCACCACCCCCTCATGCATACTTATATTTGTGCAAGCACATGGCTTCCTAGTCAAACCAGGTATGTTAAAATTACTTCCTTNGTTATTCAAGTTGTAATCAAGTTTAGCTAAGTGTCCTTATATTTCGTTGTTACATTTGGGTATTTTCTCTTCAAGCTTTGCATTTTGAGTATGAATGTCATTTCCGTTGTAGTCTAAACTTTCCCTTACATTTAATATAAGTCCATGTTTGATTTCACTACCGTGTTTCTCTACTTCATTGTTGTTCTTGCTCTTAAAATGCATAACTAAACTTTTAGTTGGCTAATCCAAGAGGGATTTCCCCTTCGGTATGTGAAATCAACTATCTTTCATTCTTCCTCGTAGTGTAAAGTATTTTGTTTGACTAAGTTGAGTGTGGACATAGTTGTGGCCTTTTTATACACTGTAGACTTGTCCAGGGGTGTGCTTTTGCCCAACACAACAATATTAGTCCCTCACTTCCTATGAATCAATTAACCATCAAGACACCATTGGTTGAATGAAATGAGTTAATTTGGCATTCCCTTTGGAATGACCTCTATGGATTAGCCAACCTTACTTTCTTGCATATTTCTTAAGTCAAAACTCACCAAACTTCAACTCAGAAGATTTACAAATTTTCACTTTTTTCACAAATCACCCTTAAAAAACATTCAATCTTTTCTTCCCTGAGGAGACAACCTTGGAATATCCATTTCAAGTAAAACTTGACATTGCAAGACTTTCTCTATGCTTGGGGAGCAATTTTACACACATTTTTGTTCATCCACACATAATTTTCCCACTTCTTGTATTAAACTCGAGGGACAATGACACTCACCAATCTCTATAAGCCATATACACATAGTTTGGGTTCGTGTTATAGGTCCGGGAAAACCATCAAACATTTTTGGTGCCATTGCCAGGGAAGGCTAAGCGTTGAATTTGAAGGTGATTTGGGGACAACAGAGGTAAGTCCTATGATTCTTATCACAAGCTAAGGTACTTTACTCCTTTGTATATATTTGTGCATACAGACATGATAATCAAAATTGACTAGTAAGACATGCCCTAGGACCAAATATGAATATAGACCAAGAGCCACTCGAGAATGCTAGAGATAATTTTGGGGATGATGGTGCTAACAATATAAGGGGTGGGGGAGTGCAAAATCCCCAAGTGCCAAATCCCCAAATGCAATTCCCCCCTTTGAGAAATGAAAGAAATAATCTCCCAATTGATCCTCCGGCGAGGTCAATGAGAGATTATCTCCAACCTACTCGAAGCACCACCCCCTCATGCATACTTATATTTGTGCAAGCACATGGCTTCCTAGTCAAACCAGGTATGTTAAAATTACTTCCTTAATTCCATGGAGTGGAATGAGAAAATTCTTACCTACACATCAAGAAATTTGAGCAAATACTTGAAACATTCATTACAATTCATACCACAGAAGACATGACACACATGAAATGATTTCCTTCCTCCCTCAAGGACAAAGCAAAAACTTGGTTGGACTCATTGAAACCCCGCTCGATAAGTTCTTGGGTACAAATGTTATCCAAATTTTTAAACAAATTTTTTCTGGTGCCTAAGACAATTATTTGAAAGAAACAAATTCAAAATTTTTTGGAAAAACCAAATTAGTAGTTCTATTAGTGTTGAGATAGATACAATGACTTGTTACACTCCATTCCACATCATGGATTTGAACCATGGCAATTGGTGAGTTCCTTCTATGAAGGAATTACACTCGGCCATTGACAATTTATTTACATAATGTGCAACAGAGAGT